GGGGGGGGGGGGGGGGGGGGGGGGGGGGAGGGGGGGGGGGGGGGGGGGGGGGGGGGGGGGGGGGGTGGGGGGGGGGGGGGGGGTGGCGGGGGGGGGGGGGGGGGGGGGGGGGGGGGGGGGGGGGGGGGGGAGGGGGGGGGGGGGGGGGGGGGGGAGGGGGGGGGGGGGGGGGGGGGGGGGGGGGGGGGGGGGGGGGGAGGGGGGGGGAGGGGAGGGGGGGGGGGGGAGGGGGGGGGGGGGGGGGGGGAGGGGGGGGGGGGGGGGGGGGAGGGGGGGGGGGGGGGGGGGGGGGGCGGGGAGGGGGGGGGGGGGGGGATGGGGGGGGGGGGGGGGGGGGGGGGGGGGGGGGGGGGGGGGGGGGGGGGGGGGGTTCTGGGGGGGGGGTGGGGGGGGGGGGGGGGGGGGGGGGGGGGGGGGGGAACGGGGGGGGGGGGGGGGGGGGGGGGGGGGGGGGGGGGGGGGGGAGGGGGGGGGGGGGGGGGGGAGGGGGGGGAGGGGGGGGGAGGGGGGGGGGGGGGGGGGGGGGGGGGGGGGGGGGGGGGCGGGGGCGGAGAGGCAGCAGGGGGGAGGGGACGGGGGGGGCTGAGAGGGAAGGGGAGGGGGGAGGGGGGAAGGGGGGAGCTGGGGGGGGGAGCGGACTCGATGGGGGTGGATGTGATGGGGGTCAGGTGGGGGGGGGGGTGCGTGGGGGGAGGGATGGAGGTTTTGGGACATATTCAGGGGGGTGTTGAGAGGGGAAGGGGGGGGGTGGAAGGGGGGAGGGGGTGCGGGGGTGAGACAGCGCATAGGGGCGGAGGTAAGGTTGGGGTAGGAGGATTGTTTCATCGGTTGTGCGACTGAGGGCCATGGGCATGGGGGGGGGATTTGTGGGGGGTTTTACATTGGGTTTTTATAGAAGATTTTTTAGGGGGAGGCAGGTTCTGGGGGGGGGGGCGTAGGTTCTGGGATTAGGGGGGCATTTATAACATAAGATGGGGGGAGTAATGGGCGTTTTGGTGGGCGCTAGAGCATCCCTTCAAAGGGGAGGAGGAGGGGGAAGGCAAAAAGCAATTCCGAGGGGGGTGAGGAAGGGGGTTAAGGTGGGCGGAGGGGGGGGGGGGGCTAAGGGGACTTGGGGGGGGGCTCACGGGTGTAGACCTGTTTTATGGGGGGGTTGGCATTGTATATCTTACATGCCCAGGCAGGGCGGAGGGCATGGTGGGGGGGGGGGGGGAGCAAAAACTCTAATTGCATTTCTAAAATAGTCGTAAGATATCCGGCGGGGACTGGTGGGGGGTGGGGGGAGGTTTACACTTTTTAGCAAACCCACGGAGTGGGGGGGGCCTAGAGGAGGCTATCGGACGGGGGTGGGGGGAGTTATCTTTAGGTAGGGAGGGGGGGGGGGGGGGGGGGAGAGGGGAAGGGGGGTGGGGGAGGATCTCTGTGGGTGGGATTGCAATGTAGACAGGGGGGGGTGGTGGGGGAGGGGGGACAAGGGTCGGGGGCCCCGAGAAGCATGGGGGGGGGGTGATGCGGAATATGCAACGGGGGGAGAGGGGAGGGGGGTGAAGGGGGAGGAGTGCCTTTGTAATATAGGGGATTATCAAAACCTTGATGGGTGTGAGGGGGTGCTAGAGAAGTTTCGGGGGGGGCATAAGGGTATCGGCAAGCATACTGCCCTAGGCACGGCCACATGTGGATAGGTGTATCTAGTCGCGGGTTGAAGAATCTAAGTGAAATCGGGGGTAAATGAAAGTATGGGGGTGGGAAGGGGGAGTTGGGTGATGGGGGAGTCCTGTCCAACCAGTAATGAGGAGATTTATTGATTAACTGGGCTTCTAGGGGCATACAGTTGGAAGGTCCACAGGGCAGTGAATGGGGTGGTAAGCCAGTTTTGTCTAGGTGAGGGGGTGTACCGCCATGTGGGGGGAAGGAGGAGTGGGGTGTAAGGAGTTCGGGTGAGGGGGAGGTTCGGGGGTAAGGAGTTGGGGGGGTGTAAGGACCCCACGGGTGGTGTTGGGAGGGTTGGGGTGGGGTGTAATGGGGGGGGTAAGGAGGTAACCGTGGGGGGGGGGGTAAGGAGTTCGGGTGTAAGGAGTTGGGGTGTAAGGAGTTGGTAAGGAGTTCGGGTGTAAGGAGTTCGGGGGGGGGTGTAAGGAGTTCGGGGTGTAAGGAGTTCGGGTGTAAGGAGTTCGGGTTGTAAGGAGTTCGGGTGTAAGGAGTTAGGGTGTAAGGAGTTCGGGTGTAAGGAGGGGTGTAAGGAGTTCGGGTGTAAGGAGTTCGGGTGTAGGAGGAGGAGTTCGGGTGTAAGGAGTTCGGGTGTAAGGAGTTCGGGTGTAAGGAGGGGTGTAAGGAGGGGTGTAAGGAGTGGGGGTGTAAGGAGTTGGGTGTAAGGAGTTAGGGTTGTAAGGAGTTCGGGTGTAAGGAGTTCGGGTGTGTAAGGAGGGGGGTTGTAAGGAGTTCGGGTGTAAGGAGTTCGGGTGTAAGGAGTTCGGGTGTAAGGAGTTCGGGTGTAAGGAGTTCGGGTGTAAGGAGTTCGGGTAAGGAATTTCGGGTGTAAGGAGTTCGGGTGTTTGTATGGAGTTCGGGTGTAAGGAGTTCGGGTGTAAGGAGTTCGGGTGTAAGGAGTTCGGGTTGTGTAAGGAGTTCGGGTGTAAGGAGTTCGGGTGTAAGGAGTTCGGGTGTAAGGAGTTCGGGGTTTGTAAGGAGTTCGGGTGTAAGGAGTTCGGGTGTAAGGAGGGGTGTAAGGGTAAGGAGTATCTTCGGGTGTAAGGAGTTCGGGGTGTAAGGAGGAGTTCGGGTGTAAGGAGTTCGGGTGTAAGGAGTTCGGGTGTAAGGAGTTCGGGTGTAAGGAGTTCGGGTGTAAGGAGTTCGGGTGTAAGGAGTTCGGGTGTAAGGAGTTCGGGTGTAGGAGTTCGGGTGTTTAAGGAGTTCGGGTGTAAGGAGTTCGGGTGTAAGGAGTTCGGGTTGTAAGGAGTTCGGGTGTAAGGGATGTTCGGGTGTAAGGAGTTGGGTGGTTCGGGGGTGTAAGGAGTTCGGGTTGTGTAAGGAGTTCGGGTTGTAAGGAGTTCGGGTGTAAGGAGTTCGGGTGTAAGGAGTTCGGGTGTAAGGAGTTCGGGTGTAAGGAGTTCGGGTGTAAGTAAATAAGAGGAGTTCGGGTGTAAGGAGTTCGGGTGTAAGGAGTTCGGGGGGTGTAAGGAGTTCGGGTGTAAGGAGTTCGGGTGTGTAAGGAGTTCGGGTGTAAGGAGTTCGGGTGTAAGGAGGAGTTGGGGTGTAAGGAGTTCGGGTTGTAAGGAGTTCGGGTGTAAGGAGTTCGGGTGTAAGGGTTCGGGTGTAAGGTGTTCGGGTGTAAGGAGTTCGGGGTGTAAGGAGTTCGGGTGTAAGGAGTTCGGGTGTAAGGAGTTCGGGTGTAAGGAGTTCGGGGTGTAAGGAGTTCGGGTGTAAGGAGTTCGGGTGTAAGGAAGGGGTTGTAAGGAGTTCGGGTAAGGAGTTCGGGTGTAAGGAGTTCGGGTGGTGTAAGGAGTTCGGGTGTAAGGAGTTTCGGGTGTAAGGAGTTCGGGTGTAAGGAGTTCGGGTGTAAGGAGTTCGGGTGTAAGGAGTTCGGGTGTAAGGAGTTCGGGTGTAAGGGTTCGGGTGTAAGGAGTTCGGGTGTAAGGAGTTCGGGTTGTAAGGAGTTCGGGTGTAAGGAGTTCGGGTGTAAGGAGTTCGGGTGTAAGGAGTTCGGGGTGTAAGGAGTTCGGGTGTAAGGAGTTCGGGTTGTAAGGAGTTCGGGTGTAAGGGCAGTTCGGGTGTGTAAGGAGTTCGGGTGTAAGGAGTGTAAGGAGTTCGGGGTGTAAGGAGTTCGGGTGTAAGTTCGGGTTTGTGTAAGGAGTTCGGGTGTAAGGAGTTCGGGTGTAAGGAGTTCGGGTGTAAGGAGTCGGGTTTGTAAGGGTTGTAAGGAGTTCGGTGTAAGGAGTTCGGGTGTAAGGAGTTCGGGTGTAAGGAGTTCGGGTGGTGTAAGGAGTTCGGGTGTAAGGAGTTCGGGGTGTAAGGAGTTCGGTGTAAGGAGGTTCGGGTGTAAGGGTTCGGGTGTAAGGAGTTCGGGTGTAAGGAGTTCGGGTGTAAGGAGTTCGGGTGTAAGGAGTTCGGGTTGTAAGGAGTTCGGGTTGTGTAAGGAGTTCGGGTGTAAGGAGTTCGGGTGTAAGGAGTTCGGGTGTAAGGAGTTCGGGTGTAAGGAGTTCGGGTGTAAGGAGTTCGGGTGTAAGGAGTTCGGGTGTAAGGAGTTCGGGTGTAAGGTGTAAGGAGTTCGGGTGTAAGGAGTTCGGGTGTAAGGAGTTCGGGTGTAAGGAGTTCGGGTGTAAGGAGTGTAAGGAGTTCGGGTGTAAGGAGTTCGGGTGTAAGGAGTTCGGGTGTAAGGATGTTCGGGGTGTAAGGAGTTCGGGTTTGTAAGGAGTTCGGGTGTAAGGAGTTCGGGGGTGTAAGGAGTTCGGGTGTAAGGAGTTCGGGTGTAAGGAGTTCGGGTGTAAGGAGTTCGGGTGTAAGGAGTTCGGGTGTAAGGAGTTCGGGTGTAAGGAGTTCGGGGGTAAGGAGTTCGGGTGTAAGGAGTTCGGGTTGTAAGGAGTTCGGGTGTAAGGAGTTCGTACAGGGGTGTGAAGGAGTTCGGGTTGTAAGGAGTTCGGGTGTAAGGAGTTCGGGTGTAAGGAGTTCGGGTGTAAGGAGTTCGGGTGTAAGGAGTTCGGGTGTAAGGAGTTCGGGTGTAAGGAGTTCGGGTGTAAGGAGTTCGGGTGTAAGGAGTTCGGGTGTAAGGAGTTCGGGTGTAAGGTCGGGTGGGTGGGTAAGGAGTTCGGGGTGTAAGGAGTTCGGGTGTAAGGAGTTCGGGTGTGTAAGGAGTTCGGGGGTGTAAGGAGTTCGGGTGTAAGGAGTTCGGGTGTAAGGAGTTCGGGTGTAAGGAGTTCGGGTGTAAAGGAGGTGTAAGGAGTTCGGGTGTTTGTAAGGAGTTCGGGTGTAAGGAGTTCGGGGTGTAAGGAGTTCGGGTGTAAGGAGTTCGGGGTGTAAGGAGTTCGGGTGTAAGGAGTTCGGGTGTAAGGAGTTCGGGTGTAAGGAGTTCGGGTGTAAGGAGTTCGGGTGTAAGGAGTTCGGGTGTAAGGAGTTCGGGTGTAAGGAGTTCGGGTGTAAGGAGTTCGGGTGTAAGGAGTTGGGTGTAAGGAGTTCGGGTGTAGGAGGGTTGTAAGGAGTTCGGGTGTAAGGAGTTCGGGGTTGTAAAGTAAGGAGTTCGGGTGTAAGGAGTTCGGGTGTAAGGAGTTCGGGTTCGGTGTAAGGAGTTCGGGTGTAAGGAGTTCGGGTGTAAGGAGTTCGGGTGTAAGGAGTTCGGTGTGTAAGGAGTTCGGGTGTAAGGAGTTCGGGTGTAAGGAGTTCGGGTGTAAGGAGTTCGGGTGTAAGGAGTTCGGGGTGTAAGGAGTTCGGGTGTAAGGAGTTCGGGTGTAAGGAGTTCGGGTGTAAGGAGTTCGGGTGTAAGGAGTTCGGGTGTAAGGAGTTCGGGTGTAAGGAGTTCGGGTGTAAGGAGTTCGGGTGTAAGGAGTTCGGGTGTAAGGAGTTCGGGTGTAAGGAGTTCGGGTGTAAGGAGTTCGGGTGTAAGGAGTTCGGGTGTAAGGAGTTCGGGTGTAAGGAGTTCGGGTGTAAAGTTCGGGGAGGAGTTCGGGTGTAAGGAGTTCGGGTGTAAGGAGTTCGGGTGTAAGGAGTTGGGTAAGGAGTTCGGGTGTAAGGAGTTCGGGTGTAAGGAGTTCGGGGTGTAAGGAGTTCGGGTGTAAGGAGTTCGGGTGTAAGGAGTTCGGGTGTAAGGAGTTCGGGTGTAAGGAGTTCGGGTGTAAGGAGTTCGGGTGTAAGGAGTTCGGGTGTAAGGAGTTCGGGGTTGTAAGGAGTTCGGGTGTAAGGAGTTCGGGTGTAAGGAGTTCGGGTGTAAGGAGTTCGGGTGTAAGGAGTTCGGGTAAGGAGTTCGGGTTGGTAAGGAGTTCGGGTGTAAGGAGTTCGGTTAAGGGTTTGTAAGGAGTTCGGGTGTAAGGAGTTCGGGTGTAAGGAGTTCGGGTGTAAGGAGTTCGGGTGTAAGGAGTTCGGGTGTAAGGAGTTCGGGTGTAAGGAGTTCGGGTGTAAGGAGTTCGGGTGTAAGGAGTTCGGGTGTAAGGAGTTCGGGTGTAAGGAGTTCGGGTGTAAGGAGTTCGGGTGTAAGGAGTTCGGGTGTAAGGAGTTCGGGTGTAAGGAGTTCGGGGTGTAAGGAGTTCGGGTGTAAGGAGTTCGGGTGTAAGGAGTTCGGGTGTAAGGAGTTCGGGTGTAAGGGTTCGGGTTTAAGGAGTTCGGGTGTAAGGAGTTCGGGTGTAAAGTTGTAAGGAGTTCGGGTGTAAGGAGTTCGGTCGGGTAAGGAGTTCGGGTGTAAAGGAGTTCGGGTGTAAGGAGTTCGGGTGTAAGGAGTTCGGGTGTAAGGAGTTCGGGTGTAAGGAGTTCGGGTGTAAGGGGTGTAAGGAGTTCGGGTGTAAGGAGTTCGGGTGTAAGGAGTTCGGGTGTAAGGAGTTCGGGTGTAAGGAGTTCGGGTGTAAGGAGTTCGGGTGTAAAGGATGTAAGGAGTTCGGGTGCAAGGAGTTCGGGTGCAAGGAGTTCGGGTCGGGTGTAAGGACTGTCCTCACAGCACGCACTCACCTAGCTGCAGTCGGTGAGTCTTGTCCGAGAATATGACTCGAAACCAGCCCGGCTCACAACATTCAAAGGCTTTCCCGCAGGACAGGAGAACCTGGTTATCCAGAAAATGTCGCCACAAAAGGACTTCCTCCTCGAAGGTTGGAGCCCTAGATACTGCAGGATGAACCAAGAAAGACGAGGTCAGACCAAGAGGAGCTCATGGCACTCATCTGGAGCCAAAGTCTGTGGGATCCTCTATATACTCCACATACACATCAAATATTTCAATTCAAATCCCCACCCTCCCCCAATAACAGTTGATTCTGCCAGTAGATCTATTTTGCTACTTCCTTCACCAGGCCAAGCTGTCCAGAAAAAGTGACAGTTACAGGGATTAGGACAGAACATATAACACAGCTGGGGGTGCTTACAACAATCAGCTTCTATTCATATGGTTTACACCTCCAAAAAAAACAAAAACCCATTCCTGTAACTACTTAAAGTGTTACTAAACCCCGGACCCCGCATTCGCTATGTCCGGCCTCCCCGGACCCCGCATTCGCTATGTCCGGCCTCCCCGGACCCCGCATTCGCTATGTCCGGCCTCCCCGGACCCCGCATTCGCTATGTCCGGCCTCCCCGGACCCCGCATTCGCTATGTCCGGCCTCCCCGGACCCGCATTCGCTATGTCCGGCCTCCCCGGACCCCGCATTCGCTATGTCCGGCCTCCCCGGACCCCGCATTCGCTATGTCCGGCCTCCCGGACCCCGCATTCGCTATGTCCGGCCTCCCCGGACCCCGCATTCGCTATGTCCGGCCTCCCCGGACCCCGCATTCGCTATGTCCGGCCTCCCCGGACCCCGCATTCGCTATGTCCGGCCTCCCCGGACCCCGCATTCGCTATGTCCGGCCTCCCCGGACCCCGCATTCGCTATGTCCGGCCTCCCCGGACCCCGCATTCGCTATGTCCGGCCTGCATTCGCTATGTCCGGCCTCCCCGGACCCCGCATTCGCTATTCGCATTCTATGTCCGGCCTCCCCGGACCCCGCATTCGCTATGTCCGGCTCTCCCGGACCCCGCATACATTCGCTATGTCCGGCGCCTCCCCGGACCCCGCATTCGCTATCCGGCCTCCCCGGACCCCGCATTCGCTATGTCCGGCCTCCCCGGACCCCGCATTCGCTATGTCCGGCCTCCCCGGACCCCGCATTCGCTATGTCCGGCCTCCCCGGACCCCGCATTCGCTATGTCCGGCCTCCCCGGACCCCGCATTCGCTATGTCCGGCCTCCCCGGCCTCCCCGGACCCGCATTCGCTATGTCCGGCCTCCCCGGACCCCGCATTCGCTATGTCCGGCCTCCCCGGACCCCGCATTCGCTATATGTCCGGCCTCCCCGGACCCCGCATTCGCTATGTCCGGCTCCCGGACCCCGCCATTCGCTATGTCCGGCTCTCCCCGGACCCCGCATTCGCTATGTCCGCTCTCCCCGGACCCCGCATTTTCGCTATATCCGCTCTCCCCGGACCCCGCATTCGCTATGTCCGCTCTCCCCGGACCCCGCATTCACACTATATCCGCTCTCCCCGGACCCCGCATTCGCACTATATCCGCTCTCCCGGACCCCCCCTATATCCGCTCACCCGGACGCATTCACTATTCCCGCTCTCCCCGGACCCCGCATTCACTATATCGCTCTCTCCCCGGACCCCGCATTCACTATATCCGCTCTCCCCCGGACCCCGCATTCACTATATCTCTCCCGGACCCCCGCATTCACTATATCCGCTCCCCGGACCCCGCATTCACTATATCTGCTCTCCCGGACCCGGACCACTATATCTGTCTCCCCGGACCCCGCATTCACTATATCCGCTCTCTCCCCGGACCCCGCATTCACTATATCCGCTCTCCCCGGACCCCGCATTCACTATATCCGCTCTCCCCGGACCCCGCATTCACTATATCCGGTCTCCCCGGACTTTGCATTCACTATATCTGCTCTCCCCGGACCCCGCATTCACTATATCCGGTCTCCTCCCCGGACCCTGCATTCACTATATCCGCTCTCCAGGACCCTGCATTCCTTATATCTGGTCTCCCACAGTACACAGAAACATGGAAGTGCAATTATTTTATATAAACTGCTAAATACCTTCTCTCATCAGAAATATAGAGCAGTTTTGTGACTTCTATCAATTGGACAAAACCAATGTTCTTAGGCACTTTTCATTTCTGGACAAAATGTTCTTTTATTATAGACAAAAGGTAAAATACCAAACTAAGGCCACTAGATGGAGCTGAGAGCAAAAGGAAATGGGTGTCTTGGTAAAGTAAAAATTGTAGAGAATGCTAAAGGGAATGAACAGAGCCAATGATTACATTTATCTGCCATTTGCTCCCTCGATTGTACACTCTAACGAGCCGGGGCCCTCTGATTCCTTATTGTACCAAATTATATTGCAACTGTACTGTCTGCCTTCATTTCGTAAAGCTCTGCGCAGACTGCTGGCGCTATATAAATCCTGCAGAACAATAAAAATCTGCTAATTCCCTCTAGCGTTCTCTAGGATTGTTAAATTGGATCTCTTGTTACAAAGACATGTGTTTCCAGTGCTCCTGAACTCCATCTAGTGGCCAAAATGTGGTATTCCACCATTGTCCCACAATAAGAGTTCAGAAGATAAAATAGCTTAAACCATATTTGTTTTTGCCCACTTTGCACAGTAAAAAAAAAAAAAAAAAATGTACACGCAGATTTGCAGGATGAGCCCGGGTTCACATACATGTGGTGCATCGCATGTGATTCACACAGGAACTGCACCGCATTCCTGCGCAAATCACATGTGATTTGTGTGCGACCGGAGCCGTACATTTTACATGGCTTTAAATCGCACACAAAACATACAGGATTCTTTTCTGGGTCCGCACTAGAATCGGATCGCATGGGTATTCACACCTATGGAATCCAATTTATTTTTTACATAGTCTGGCTGAAAAAAAAAACAAAAAAAAAGAAACATAAAAAACAAAAAAAACAAACACAAAAAAAAAAAAATATATAAATAAATCGCGCAAAAAAAAAAAAAAAAAGCACCCAGTTTTGCAGACCGCTTTCGGGATGTTACCATACTCACCCAGAGTGGTTCGCATGATAGGGGTTGCGATTCTGATGCGTTGCGGAATTCGCACTGAAAACATTGTAAATTTCACACCAGATCAGTGTGAACCCGGGCTAAATGGCTATTTGAGTGTATTTAAAATTGCATGTTCATCTGAGACTTCCCTTCCCCCAGCATGACAACAATTTTGCTCCAGATTGAACGGTGTTGTCAACCTATTAGTGGCAAAGAAAAAAAAAAACATACACACAACAGATCTAATGGCAGGATCAACAGGCAACAAAAGGTATGTTACAGGGCTGGAATGCTGTATTACTCCTAGTGCCAGACTGCATGATATATGTCATTTTTTTTTTTCATTTTATCTAGAGTTCCACTTTAATACCAGGCTGCAATCAGCACCCTTCTGAAGTCCAGTCGCGTGACCAATGCCTTATGAGCAGCCATCATGTGATCATCCCCAGAGACCCGAATACAACGCTAATGAAATATAGTGCTTGGCCTGCATTCATTTTCAATTAGAACGCATACGGCTCCAAGTCTCACCTTCCGAAAGTCAATCCAGATGAAAAATCCGGCTCCTCGGTTTAGGAAGGGAACGCTGAGAGCTCGGAGTTCGTCCGCCACAAAGGCCTGAGCAGCCCGCAAGCGAGCATGGTTCACCCGCAAATAAATCTGGTTAATCCAGTCTGTCGTAGAACATGCAAGGAGACAGGTGTATATACAAATACTGTTAGAATAGAACCAACACAATTTATAAAGCTGGTTTATAGAATAGATCAGCCTAAAGGGATTATTGGGGAGATTTGTACCAACTTCCAGCTTGCAAGTGTAGCCAAAAAAAGGGAATGATCAATAAAACCCCAGCATTGGTGCCGAGGCCAGCAATGATACCCCCAGTATGTTCAAGGACAGCCAAAACCCCAGTAACTATCAGGTCCAGCAATGATAAATAACAGCAATAACCCCCACTAAGTGTCAGGGCAAGAAATAACGCACTGCATGTGTCAGGGTGAGTAATAACCCCCAGCAATAACCCTTCAGAATCTGTCAGGACCAGCAATAACCCCCAGCAATAGTCAAGGCCGGCAATGATAACAACCCCCCCCCCCCCCCAAAAAAAAAAAAAAAAAAAGTGTCAGCCCAGAAATGACAAACTGCAGCAATTATCCCCAGTAAGTTTCAGGGCAAGCAACAGTCCTCTGCATGTGTCATGGTGAGCAATGATAACCCCCAGCAAGAACTGATTAGCAAGTATCAGGAACAGCAATAAACCCAACAATAGACAGGGCCAGCAATGACAACCCCTAGCTAGTGTTATGGCAAACAACATCCTCAGCATGCGTCAGAGCCACCATAAAGGCTGTAAAAGCAATCATTTCTCCTCCTCTCTGGCTGCATTCTTGCAGCCATTAAGAAATCCTGTGAGAGCTGTGATTGGTCACAGCTTGCCACATGGTACAAGGCTGTTGTGAATAGCCCTGTACCATGTGCCCTCTGTGATCATTCACAGATTTCACAAGTAGTAAGCAATGATGTCAGGAAGGGACATCTTGTTTACTACTATTCATGTGATCACTGATTGGCCAATCAGTGATCACATGATTGGGACCCTCACACAGACGTCCCGTACAGCGATCAGTGTTCCAGGGAGCGCGCACAGGCAATGGATGTGGGGGGACATTCAGAAGTGGCAGCGCTCCCATCAGGCTGTTTATCGACATGGGCCGGACGGGAAGTGGTTCATTTTCGATATGAGACTAGCATGCAAAAAATATAAAAAAAAAAAAAAAAAAAAAAAAAAAAAAGACAATCATTCGTCCAATATTCTCATTGTGGGATTTTAGGCTCAAAGATAACATATCTGGATACTGATGCTTTAAAGAAGAAAAAAAAAAAAAAAAAAAAAAAAACGGTATTGACCAATGAGATTTGAAAGTTGCAGTCGCATGGCAAAAATTTCTATGCATTGAGCCAACAGACAGCAATTGAAACCTGACGGGGTTCTTCTTTAGGATTACCCTCCCCGACTGCCATCACATCTCACCACGGTCATGAAGCAGCTGGGCCATCTTGTACTGAACAGGTCCACAGACCCCATGAAAGTAGCAGAGCGAAGCAACTCCCTTGCAGACATCTGGATTCTGAGAGTAGAGGGTGCCAAAACGCACCCCAGAGACTGCGAAGTCCTGAGGGAAAAGGAGGATCTGATGAGACTTTTGGCTCCTTCCAACTTCATAGATTACAAAAAAAAAAAAAAAAAAGTTGGCTTTAAAAATACACTTTCGAGTTCCTTATAGCACCCTCGCTGCACTTACCTTACTAATCCCCCACATCACATGGGTCCTTTGGGGGTCAGGAAGCCTGTGAGAACACAAAACTTGTAAGTAAATTGAATTTTGAGCAAAAAAAAAAAAAAAAAAAAGTTAATCTAGTGTACTTTTGAAAAGCAAGCATCATTCAGCGTCAATCATTACCATTCCTCTCTTCACAGCATCATTGAGGCCGACAAAAATATTGCGGCTCCAGGGGTACAGAAAAAGTAGATACCCTCACCTTTATCTCCAGCACATGATTGTCCTGGTTTCCTGAATGGATATAAACTATCAGGTAGCGTGTAGGAGGTGTACACCTGTGTTTATGCAAATATTGACTTTCAGAAAGTCTGAAATTGCATAGGAAGCTATTCAAAGCAGTGAAGAGAGAGGTTGTGACCATAAGGCCACATCTATAACTTTATGGGGTTTACTATCCAATAGGTCTGTTTTTACATCAGAGATCAAAAGCAACACGGGCTATAAACTTACTTATCAAAGCTCAGGACGCTGTGGAATGTTGACGATTCATCAAAAACTGACAACATATAAATCTCATCTACTATAACGTGCAGGGAGTGCCTACAAGAAAAAAAATAAAAGAGGAAAGCTTTATACATCAAAAGTAATCTTTGGGGTGAACATGCAGCAAAGATCCTTGGCAACTTTTTTTTTCTTTAGCTTTGGTAGTGCTTAGCACTTTCCTTCTCGCTTTCCATCTTTAAGGTTACATTGTTAGTGAGGTTGGAAAAAAAAAAAAAAAAAAAAAAAAAAAACCAACACACACGACACTAGTCCATCTAATTCAACCAACAATGTTGGGGAAATTTGCCTTCGCTTCCTGTCACTGGGAGTGGTAATAAAGAGAAATCTCCCAATTGGGACACAAACATTAACATAACACCATCCCCTCCTCCTCAAAAAAGTCCACTCTCTTGGCCTCCGAGACTCTGCTCTCTCCTGGTTCTCCTACCTATAGCAGCACTCCTTCAGAGTTACCTATGACTCGGTCTCCTCCTCTCCACCTCCTCTTTCTGTTGGGGTCCCTCAAGGTTCTCTCCTTGGACCCCTTCTCTTCTCCATCTACACCTCCTCCCTTGGTCACTTGATAAACTCCCAAGTACCATCTCTATGCTGATGACACACAAATCTATCTTTCTACTCCTCACCTCACCCCTTCAGTCTCCTCTCGCATTACTAACCTACTAAAGTGACATATCGGCATGGATGTCACTCCACTTCCTCAAACTCAATCTTTCCAAAACCGAGCTCTTAGTATTCCCCCAGCCCGCGCCCCCTCCCCTGACTTCCCCATCAAGATCAATAATACAGCCATCAGTCCCTCCCCTCATGCCAGGGTACTAGGTGTAATCCTAGACTCCCATCTGTCCTTTCAGCCCCAAATCCAATCGCTGTCCAAATCTTCTAGACTTCACCTCCGCAACATCTCCAAGATACGCCCGTTCTTAACCTTGGAAATCACTAAGCAACTTATTGCTTCCCTTGTTATATCTCGCCTTGACTATTGTAACTCCCTCCTCATTGGCCGACCTCATCGCAGGCTATCCCCTCTTCAGTCTATCATGAATGCTGCTGCCAGACTCATCCACCTTACTAACCGTTCTGTATCTGCCATCCCTCTCTGCCAATACCTCCACTCAGTGTCCTCCACCCCTCTCTGCCAATCCCTCCTCTGGCTTCCCATTGCCCAATGGATAAAATTCAAAAAACATTAACAATAACATATAAAGCCATTTATAACTCTGCCCCAAATGACATCACTAATCTTGTCTTCAAATATCACCCAAACCATCCTCTCCACTCCTCCACAACCTCCTGCTCTCCAGCTCCCTTGTCTCCTTCAGGACTTCTCCAGAGCTTCCCCCATCCTCTGGAACTTTCTACCCCAATTTATCTAATCGCCTATTGCTCAGAAAGAGTTTATGGAAATCTTTGTAGTAGGGACGCAGACAACAATAGCTACTAAAAGATGTTGTAACTTTTTCTGATTCTGTAAAAATGATAAACAAAATAAATAAAAATTACCCCAAGATTTCCTGTGCAGTCATAAGGTGGACTGATCTTCTGACTGGCGCCATCTTTAAACGGTGAAGCGCCACGTGGTTCTGCTTTTGAGTAATGCGTTTTTGCGCTTCAGCTCAGCCCCCTGCAGTACTTAACTGTATCCCCATGGGTACTGTCTATAAGTGTGCCTCCAGCCCCTATGTGAAATTGTGACTCCAACAGCCTCTCCAGTACCGGTATCACCTAGTGACTTTAGTGCATCCAACATCTCCAGAGCGCCTCCAGTACCCATGTCATCTTGTGACTACAGCATGCCTAGTGGCTTCAAGAGTGCTTCCAGCTCTAGTGACTCCAATGTGCCAGTGGCCCAAATGAAAAAGTGCATCTCCAGTCCTTGTGTCATCTTGTGACTCCAGAACACCCAGTGACTCCAAGAGTACCTCCAGTCCCCATGTCACTCAATGACTTCAGTGCCCCCAATAGCTACAAGTGCAACTCCAGTCCCCTGTGTTATCTAGTGACTTAAGTGCATCCAGTGTCTCCAAGAGTGCCTCCAGTCCGTGTGTGATCTTGTGACTAAAGCATGCCCAATGATTCCAAGAGGACCTCCAGTCCCCATGTCATCTATGGACTCCAGTATGCCCAGTGACTACAAGTGTGCCTCCAGTCCCCATGTCATCTAGTGACTTCAGTGCCTTAAGTGACTCCAAGAGTGCTTCCAGCTCCCTTGTCATCTAGTAACTTCAGTGCACCTTGTGCCCCAACAGCACCTCCGGTACCCATGTCATCTAGTGACCCCAGCGTGTCGAGTGCCTCAAAAGACTCCAAGTGCATCTCCAGTCTCTGTCATTTAGTGACTCCACCGTGCCCAGTGTCCCAAGGAACTCAAAGTGCATCTCCTTTCTCTGCATTATCTAGTGACCCCAGCGTACCGAGTGCCTCAAGGGACTCCAGGTGCACCTCCAGTCCCCGCGTCATCTAGTGACTCCAGTATGCCTATTGCCCCAAGTGACTCAAGAGTACCTCCAGTCCCCATTCCATCTAGTGACTCCATATGCCAGTGCCCCCAATGGCACCCAGTGTGACTGCAGCCCCCATGTCATCTAGTGACTCCAGTGCTCCAAGCGTTTCCAAGAGTGCCTCCAGCCCACCTGCCATCTAGTGTCTCCAGTGCACCCTGTGCTCCAAGTTACCCAAGAGTACCTCCAGTCCCCATTCCATTTAGTGACTCCAGTGTGCTCAGTGCCTCAAGGGATACCAGTTTCCATGTCATCTAGTACCTACAGCGTGAATGGAGACTCCAAGTGCCCCACCATTTCCCATGTAATCTAGTGACTTCAAGAGTGCCCTGTGCGAATCAGTGACATGCAGAGCACACTACGCTCCCGCATCACCTGGACAGCCCTTTTTGGCAATGTTGGTGACAACATCTTTATGAATCCAATTACCTAGTCTCTCTGCTTAGTTAAAATACTGATATTTCTTGGCAAAAATGTGAAGCCAAGGACAGTAAAAGTAATATGCCAGCACAAGAGAGACATTCAGCACTGTAAGAAAGTCACATCACACTGCACCTTTTGGCAAATTCCAGGAAGTCCAACATTTCAGAAACGGAGTATAGGTCTCCCAGAGGATTGTTGGGGTTAATCAGGATAACAGCCTTCACATTGGTGCCCTGGAAGAAACACAGCAGGATATAGCTACGGTTCTGCCAGGAGAGAGCGAAACAAACTGCCATTGGTGTCACACAGTACGCACTACGTTCTAGTCCAAATTCACGCACTCACCTCCTCTTTGGCTGTCTGCAGCGCTGACTCCAGTTTCTGCACAGTGAGTTGGAAAGGTCGGGTCTCCGAAGAGGTTACCTGACAACCAGAGACACATTTTAGATTTAGTAGAGCAGAGTAGAGAAGAGTAGAGCATGACTGGTTGCAGGGTGGATTTGATTTAAATCACGATTTAAATCACTAGTCAGTAAGGCTTGATTTAAATCAGTTTTCTACATAAAGACTAATTCTTGCTGGTATAACTGTAATATACAAGTAGATGAAGATTTTTAGAATAACTTTTCATATTAGTTTTTTTATCCCCAGTTTAATAGGTTAATCATTCATATTTGGACAACTTTTCTGTTGTACTTAGGAAGGAGAAAAATATTACCTTAATAACAACAATTTAAATAGATTTATTCAACTGAAACAATAACATTCAAGCATATGTGATTTGCTTAAACATCCATGTTTGTTAACTAATTTGGCTAAACAAAATATCTATATTTTAAGAAACTTAGACTGTCAGCCCCTTCCTCCTCATTCTTAGTTTCACTTTCTTCTTGTGCAGATCTATTCCACTCCAAACAATCAGAAAAATATTGTTTCTATTCTATTCACTGAACTTCTTGAAACTTAGCAGTGAAGGGGTTGATTCTGTATTCATAGGTTTGTAGAAGTTAGGATGAAGGTCTTTTTCTTAACTCTGTTCATGTTATAATATTTTTGCTGTGAAGAAGAGGCCTGTGATCTCTGTGGAGTCAAATTCAGTTTTGAGAACTGCAAAAGTAAACCAATCATCTGTGATAATATCTTGTAGGCAGAGAAACTGCCCAATAATCTTACAAAAACCTCTGGAAGAACATGACATTGTGAATGGATTAATGGAATTTATTTACCAAAAAAATTAAAACATATACAGCCTTATTCTACATAATTAAAAAACTAATCTTTATTTCATGATGGAATAACCTTTGGATGGTAATATATTTTCCTCAAAAAAGCATTTTATTTTAAAAAATCCAATTTAATTAAAAAAAAAAATCCAATTTAATTAAAAAAAAAATCCAATTTAATTAAAAAAAAAATCCAATTTAATTAAAAAAAAAATCCAATTTAAATTAAAAAAAAATCCAATTTAAATTAAAGAAAAATCCAATTTAAATTAAAGAAAAATCCAATTTAAATTAAAGAAAAATCCAATTTAAATTAAAGAAAAATCCAATTTAAAATTCAAAAATCAATTTAAAATCAGAAAAAATCCAATTTAAAATCCCAAAAATCCAATTTAAAATCCCAAAAAATCCAATTTAAATCCCAAAAATCCAATTTAAATCCCAAAAATCCAATTTAAATCCCAAAAATCCAATTTTTTAAAAAAAATCATTGATTTTTATCCACCCTGACTGGTAGTAGATTCAGGCCCCCGTTCACATAATTGCTCATTCGCACTACGCGATTTTGACATGCCATTTTCACGCAATTCTCCATGTCCCATAGGGCAGCCCATTCATCGGAATGGGCTGCCCAATGCATGTTTTTTGCCTGGAAAGAAGCTTCTGCTCCTTTTTGGAAGACAAGCTTCACGTGATTTATGATGGCCCGGTTTTCTGCAACAATCGTGACAGAGTCACATCGCATTTGGGGTGCCATTGAGGAAAATGGCACCCAAACGCATGCATCGCACTGTGCAGCGACTGCAGTGCATTTTGGGACCGAGGGCGAAATCGCAGCGATTTTGCCCACGATCCCAAATCGTGAGATGTGAATGTGGCTTTAAACACTTTGCAATTGCACCTTTCTCCCCAAAAAAACAAGAAGAAACTCAAAATCAATCACCAACATCCATTTATAAGGCAGGCCATAGATAATAAGTAGGTGATCGAAATCCGGCAGCTCGATCTGCAGCAACAAGTTTATTAATCCAGGTCTGGTATAAAATATTATAAGGCTTCTATGCTTTTTAGCGTGTAGCCATAATCATGGCCTACATGTTTGCTTGGGTGTTAGGAGGACATTACAAGCTAGTGCCAGCATCAGCAAGCGGACCACGCCGACAGTCGGAACACCCTGTCCAATGTTGTGGCCATCTCTATTTTCATACAAAGATTTACATGCATGCTATGTCTGAATAGGTTTTCATCTTTTTGACTTTTAATAAACCTTGGATAATGCACTAAGTGTTTGCACCACCTGTTTGCTCCTCTTCAAGCTAGTGCACCGATTGCTCACCACCTCAGGGAATTACAACAGGGGTTTTTTACTATATTCAGGCCATAAATAATGCATTTTTTATGTTCAACCAGAGGGTTGAGTGAAAAAAATAAATTGTTTCCCCTGTGACAGGAGTGACTTTGGGTGGGGGGCCCATGGAACCCAGCTCACTTTGGAGAGGTGGGGAGACCCCTGTCTCAGCTCCCCATATCCCTATTATGTGCAAGTCACCCTGTGCCTGTTAGGGGTACAGGGTGATCTGTCCTAATATTGGGTGGGCTTTGTTATGTGGTTGCATCCCATTGTTCTATTGTCTGTCTGGTTTGGGAGCAAACTATTATGGGATGTATGTGTTTATGTTTATTAGTTTAGTGGGGGGGGGGGGGGTCTCAAGCAGCCCTCCCTCCTGATGGGACTGTCTGTTGGGGTGTCTCTCGTTATGAATTGTATATTGCCCCACCCCGTGACATTATGCAGGGAGGGGGGTCTCAAGCAGCATTCGCTCCTGATGGGATTGTCTGTTGGGGTGTCTCTTGTTACTAATTGTAGATTGCCCTACCCTGTGTCATTAGGCGGGGGGGGGGGGGGGGGGATTTGTCCCTTGAGTGTATATATCTTGTATCTGTGTTCAAATAAATGAGTCTTGTATGGTCAGCTGTGGTGTCTGTTGTTGGTGTTTGGACAGGGAAGTGGTATTATAAACAGAAATACTCAGTGCAGGCAGGGACGGTTCCGTTACATCCCCCATCCACACATTGGAGGAATCCCTCCAGAGGAACTTCTGTATTCTGACAGCGAAGAGAGTTCCCCACCATCAGAATACATGGATCAGTGTTTCTGGCTATAGCAAAGCGAAAAAAAAAAACCAACAGGCTGGTTGTACAGAAGTGGATCAAGAGATCGACTTCAGTACAACCAGCCTGCCCATAAGTGGATCGAAGTTTGGCTGGACCCTGCTGAACCAGCAGAGTTTCGATCCATTTATGGATGGCTTTAATGAAACACCAGCTTTAGGTGGATTTGCATAGAATCCCTGTAACCTCTAAAAACAAAAACACGTCATTATCAATTTGAAGCTCATTGAAGCCAACTCAGAGCCCAATCGCTCACCTTGCTTGTCAGGTGCACATAGACCAGCTTAATACCGCTGTACAGGAAAATACTTTGAGTGATTCCGCCATAGAATGGGGTGGCAATGAGCATGGAATCTGCGAGACAAGAACGAATAGAATATTTGCTGAAAAAAACCTGCAAAGTCAAGCAATGAAAGAAATTGATAACAAGCAGCATGGCTTCAACCACTGGTCACAATATACAAGGAGACCATAGAATGTGTCATAGGCACATGTAAGCTGGTCACAGTCATTGGGCAAAATAAATTTTGACTATGCAATGAGCAGACACCAAACACACCTGCCTTATCCTAGGTTCATGTGTATGCATTTCCTGCACCACATTGCAAAATCACACAGTTTGCGCTCCGCTGCGGGTGTCAATACAAAATTAACGACACCCCAAATGCAACACAAACACAGTGCGGTTTGCCTGCACCGGATCGCATTGTACAAAAAAGGACCATGTGATCCGGTCGCGGTGCAGCTCCAAAAAAGGTATTTGTGCTTCTTTGGTTTGATTTGAGCCCATGCAAAATGAATTGGCTCAAATCACACCACCCTGAACCACATGTGAAAACTGCACAGGAATGCAGTGCCACATGTGGGTTACAAAGTGTGAACTGGGGCTTAATGCTGGGGGGGGGGGGGGTTGGCTGAAAAGCCCCGCATGACCAATTAGTGCACCCTCCCTGATAAAATTGTGTGTTCCAGCACAATCCGGTTGATCTTCTGCCCATAAATAGGAAGGTTCTGATCACTAAAATGAAAAAAAAAAAGTAGGGAGCTGGAAGCCATGCAGACAGTCCCCATGCTGCTGGCCTTCTGGAAATCATGATCAGAAAAAGTTGTCAAACCGGCAATCGTGTTGCCTATCAGGAAAAATTTGATTCAGGCTTCCCCACAGACTTTAGATACAAAAGAAGAAAGAAGGAAGAGGGAAAAAGGAAAAAGAAGGAAGAGGGAAAAAGGAAAAAGAAGGAAGAGGGAAAAAGGAAAAAGAAGGAAGAAGGAAGAGGGAAAAAGAAGAAAGAAAGAAGGAAAAAGAAGAAAGAAAGAAGGAAAAAGAAGAAAGAAAGAAGGAAAAAAAAAAGAAGAAAGAAAAGAAGGAAAAAGAATGAAAGAAAGAAGAAAAAAAAAGAAGAAAGAAAGAAGGAAAAAGAAAAAAAGAAGGAAAAAGAAGAAAGAAGAAAGAAAAAAGAAGAAAGGAAAAAAGAAAGAAGTATGGGTTCCCAGAAATCATACCCCGGATACCAGGTGGTCCCCCTTTACAGCACCTGGCTTTCTGCTGCAATGGGCAGCATTTATATTTCAATTTGCTGCCACCAATGTACAGGCACGGCTAGCTAGCTCTATGAAAATGAATGAAAAAATTAAAAAATTGTGCTCTCCCATTCATCTCTATAGGGCTTGTAGTACAAAGAGTTCCCTTTAAGGCAGATCAGAAACACAAAAATGAAACATTTATTAAAAAGCCCCTTATCACCACATTTTCTAGAAATCACATGGACGTCAGCTCACCTCCAGGATCACAGAGGACAGCGGCCAGAGCAGAGAACAAAGAGCCACAACCGTTCAAAATGACCACCTGGGGGACAGAATGAGGCTTATTACAGCTGTACTGAGGCAATCTGTGTGGAAAAGTTTTCCCAGCAGTCACCATATTATTTACCCACCCAGAGCAAACCTTGTACCATGTATAGAACATGAGAGTGGAATATAAAAATTTAGAGCAGGGTTTCTCAACCCGGGTTCCTCAGGAGGTTGCCAGAGGTTCCTTGACCAAATGAGCAATTCCTTCCTCTCAGATAAGTTCCCATTGACACCATTGATCATTTTTAGCGATCTGTAAGGGGGGAATTCTTCCCAATGTCCACAAGTGTAAGGAGCATTCTTCCCACTGACTATCACACTAATGTATCAAGAGTTGTAGATATAGTCAATTTTAGCAGGGGTTCCCTGAGACTGGAAATGTAAAGGGTTCCCGTGTTACAAAAGGTCAAAAAAGGCTGGCCTAGAATCTATAAATCCTGTTTTATGGTATAGGGGACTTAGACTAGAGAGCTGTTCCATGTGTATCAGAGTATATTATAATCAGCTAGAACAGTGATCTCCAAACTGTGGCCCTGGGGCTGAATGTGGCCCTTTACCTCTAACGGGCCCTTGGGGCTCTATTCCATGCACAACTGACACAAACAATGGGGCACCATTCCTCCCACTGATATCAACAATGGGGAACGATTACCAATGATGAGGCATTTTCTACTCCCACTGGCCACAGTCCAGCCCTCCTAAAGTCTGAAGGATCATAAACTGGCCCTTTGTTTAGAAAGTTTGGAGAACCCTGAGCTGGAACACAGACAAACCTGCCACAATGTATTAGTGTATAGCTACCTGGACCACTGATAGACTGGTTACAATGTATCAGTGTATGATAACCACCTGGAACTGTATGATAGATCTACCCAGAACACTTACAGACACTGACAAGCCTGTTACAATGTATCGGTTTATGATATCACAACCCGGAACTATTTGTTATATACACACACACACACCACTATATTGCCAAAAGTATTGGGCCGCCTGCCTTTCCACACACATGACCTTTAATGGCATTACAGTCTTGGTCCATAGGGTTCAATATTGAGTTGGCCCCGCCCTTTCCACACACATGACCTTTAATGGCCCCCCAGTCTTAGTCCGTGGGGTTCAATATTGAGCTGGCCCCGCCCTTTGCAGCTATAACAGCTTCAACTCTTCTGGGAAGGCCGTCCACAAGGTTTAGGAGGGTGTCTATGGGAAGGTTGGACCATTCTTCCAGAAGCACATTTGTCAGGTCAGGCACTGATGTCGGGGGAGGAGGCCTGGCTCACAGTCTCCGCTCTAATTCATCCCAAAGGTGTTCTATGGGGTTGAGGTCAGGACTCTGTGCAGGCCAGTCAAGTTCCTCCACCCAAACTGGCTCCTCCATGTCTTAATGGACCTTGCTTTGTGCACTGGTGTGCAGTCATGTTGGAACAGGAAGGGGCCATCCCCAAACTCTTCCCACAAAGTTGGGAGCATGAAATTGTCCAAAATGTCTTTGTATAATGACACCTTAAGAGTTCCCTTCACTGGAACTAGGGGGCCAAGCCCAACCCCCGAAAAGCAAACCCCCGCCATAATGCCCCTCCAACAAACTTTACACTTGGCACAGTGCAGTCAGGCAAGTACCGTTCTCCTGGCAACCGCCAAACCCAGACACGTCCATCGGATTGTCAGACAGAAGTGTGATTGGTCACTCCAGAGAACACGTCTCCGCTGCTCTAGAGTCCAGTGGCGGCGTGCTTTACACCACGGCATCCGGCGCTTTGCATTGCACTTGGTGATGTAAGGCTTGGATGCAGCTGCTCAGCCATGGAAACCCATTCCATGAAGCTCTCTACACACTGTTGTTGTGCTAATCTGAAGGCCACACCAAGTTTGGAGGTCTTTAGCTATTGACTCTGCAGACAGTTGGCGACTTCTGTGCACTGTGCGCTTCAGCATGCGCTGACCCCGCTCTGTCATGTGACGTGGCCTACCACTTGGTGGCTGAGTGGCTGTTGTTCCCAGTTGCTTCCACTTTGTTATAATCCCACTAACAGTTGAGCGTGGAATATTTAGTAGCCAGGAAATGTCACGGATGGACTTATTGCACAGGTGACAACCTATCACGGACCACGCTTGGAGTCACTGAGCTCCTGAGAGCGACCCATTCTTTCACCAATGTTTGTAGAAGCAATCTGCATGCCTAGGGGATGATTTTATACACCTGTGGCCATGGAAGTGATTGGAACACCTGAATCACATGATTTGGAGGGCGGCGGGCCCAATACTTTTGGCAATATAGTGTGTGTAAATATATTACCTTGACACACTTGTTACATTGTCACAATGTATGCTATAACTACCTAGAACATTGAAAGACTTGTTACATTGTATCAGTGTATGCTATGATAACTGTCTATCCTCACCCCACACACCGTAATAATGTGTCAACAAATTCAGAAAAGTAGATATTGGCAGATCCCGGAGCGGAGGGGCTCGAGAACAGGCAGAAGGGATACTAATGATCTCCTATGGACAGCCTAACAGACTTCTGATGAAAACCCCAAACAGACTCATTAACAGCAATACCCACACAGTTATTACTTACATTTTCTGAATTTAAAGGAGTTGGGGATTTACAGTAATAAGTCAAAAAACGAGCCACTTCTTCTCTTAAGCTGAAAGAAAGAAGAAACTGCAAGATAATGGCAAAATAAAGAGGTTCGAGTCTCTAAAAGTGATTTCACTTGCGGGTAGTTCAAGTACCAAACTATGGGGTCCACTCTGTATTTATGACAGTAACTTCAAAGCCTGACCCGGTTGTTCCAGCACTCATTTGTCCCAGAAATCCTCATCAGTAAAAGGGAATTCCACCTTTTGGTATAGGATTCCATGTGCGGCAGCTTCCTATTCTAATGTGCGATTTCCGTATAATTCAAGTCATTTAAGGCAAAAAAAAAAAAAAAAAAAAAGAATCCACAGAAAAACTGCCTAACAAAGAAACAAAAATTATCAGTAGCTGACCATGTAGCTTAGTGCTCTATGAAGCCTCTGGAGTAGAGTGGCTGCTGGAGTCCCACATTTGGGGGAAGAGGAAAGGGGGGGGAGGGGAGAGGAAGAGGAAGGGGGGGGGGAGGGGAAGAGGAAGAGGAAGGGGGGGGGGGGGGGGGGGAAGAGGAAGAGGAAGATAAGGGGGGGGGAGGGGAAGAGGAAGAGGAAGAGGGGGGGGGAGGGGAAGAGAGAGAAAGAGGAAGAGGGGGGGGGGGAGGGGAGAGAGAAAGAGGAAGAGGGGGGGGGGAGAGAGAGAGGAAGAGAGGAAGAGGGGGGGGGGGAGAGAGAAAGAGGAAGAGGGGGGGGGGGGAGGGGAGAGAGGGAAGAGGAAGAGAGGGGGGGGGGGGAGAGAAAGAGGAAGAGGGGGGGGGGGGGAGAGAGAAAGAGGAAGAGGGGGGGGGAGAGAGAAAGAGGAAGAGGGGGGGGGGAGAGAGAAAGAGGAAGAGGGGGGGGGAGAGAGAAAGAGGA